TTTAGAATCTCTCTTTCATCTCCCTCTGGGATAGGCTTTATTAAATACCACAATTTTTATTACTATTTCTAGAGCTCTTAGGGGCAGGGTTAAATCTATAACTTTTATTTAAAACATTGTTTCAGTGTGGTAAATACTGTCATGTATTTAGGGGTTTGTGACTAGATGGGGTATGGATTAGATAAGAAGATGAGGAATACTTGATAATTTTTTAAGGTGATATATTCTTTGTGACCCAATATAGCATCTAGTATTAGCTCTGACCTCATAAAAGTTTTGAACAGTCTCTAGTGGAATTTTATACCACTCTTCTTGAAGAACACCAAGTTGCTTTAGAGATGTTGGAGGTGGGAATCTGTTCCTCACTCTAGTCTTGAAAACTGACCACAGTGGTTCAATAATGCTCAAATTTGGTGATTGTGCTGGCCAGGGAAAATGAAGTTCACCTGTATGCTCTTCAGACAATGACTGAACAGTTTCAGCTGTGTGAATGAGGACATTATCATCTTGGAAAACTGCTTCACTATTCAGAAATAACATCCTGATCATAGGATGCACCTGATTACCTAACTTGTCCACATACTCCCAGTAATTAGCCATGAAAGGTAATAATCAAACCATCACAGAACTTCTCCCATGTTTCACTGTTGGAACCAGGCATTCCGGATTGTAGGCTTCCTTGGGCGTTCTCCAGACGTATACTCTTCCAGAAATAGGAATCAGGGTGAAGTACAACTCATCTGACCATACCATTCATGTGTTTCCAGTTGTCTGATGTCCAGGTTCTATGGTAGTGACATCATCCTCCACATATCAGAGCACTGCTTTCAACAATTAGAGATTTAGCAATCGCAGCCTACCGTGGATTTTGGATTTATGAAGCTCATGTTGGACAGTTTGTGGAAACGGAATCTTCAAGATGGATATTCAGTTCTGCTGTCACCTGTGCTGTAGTAGTTCTGTGATTTTTCGAAACAGACTTTTTCAATTTACGATTATTTCTTTCTGGCAATGCTGATTTTCGCCCACTGTTCCTCTTCACTGATGTCTTCCCATCCTCCCCATGATTCTTTTGTGTCAACATAACCTTAGAACCTGTGGCAGTTTTTGTCACAGATGGTCCAGCTAACGGAAGAATGTCAACAATGAAGAAGGCAGGAGGAAATACAGGAGAGTGAGGAATGAATTGAAAAGAGCCATGGACAGGGCCAAAAAGGAATATCTTGAGAAGATATGTAATGAGATTATAGAATTTCAAAGAACA